CAGCCACATCTGGACCACCAGTAGTTTCTCCAGTGGTTCATAAGTCCAGCATCTTCCACAGGGATACTCCTGGCAGAATCACCAGAGATGAGTCTATCACCAGGTCAAGGTAGACATGTACGCATTTCACCACAGTGGCTTTCTTGTCGCATCTCCACCACCATCTGTTGACCCTCCCTTCCTCCAACAATGTCATCCCTCCCACAATTATACACCCTCTCATTTATTCCACCTGAAAACGGTTAACGTATCTTACTGAAGTAAGTGTCTGCTCACATTTACACTTCACTCAACCGCAGTAAACAATATGATAATGGTGGAATAACTGTAGATACTATTGTAGCTCAATGCAGATAAATCTGCAGTTAGGTGGTTACCATGTGTTATGTAGCCAGCAGGATGGAAGACAACCATCCAGGGAACTAATACCCTCATGTCATATAACTGTGAAACATAGCTAGTAGACTGGTAGACACAGCCTTCCTGGGAGCCACTACCCTCCTGTTAACGAGTGTGACAAATTGCAATATAACAAGATATCAGTTACATAAAAAAACAGTCAGTTAAGACAATATACCTTGCTATAACTTCCTATCTTATTACACGGTATTACGTTCAACAAAGGGTAGAAGACTTTATCTAGTTTTTATCGTCAAACTGAACAGGAAACTTAGTTGACGAGTGCAATTTAGTGCTGTCTCACTATGATCTATCAATACCTGTGGATAAACTTCCCTCTTGATCGCCTGATCATACAGACTTGCTACTTGAGACACGAAGAATTACCCGCTCGTCACAGTCCAGTTAACTTGCATCACCATCTTGTCTTCTCGGTGTCATTATATTAATGAAGAAGTATCAACCCGTAAGGAACATACAGCTCCTAGGGAAGTGGAGTAGCTCCAGTTTGCTAGGTCAAAAGCTCTTAACTGGAGTAGTAGCAATAACTACAGCAACAGTACGAGCATCAACAATAAAACAATAGCAGCAGCAGTAGTAGCAGTAGTAGCAGCAGCAGCAACAGCAGCAGCAGAAGGAAACGGAATAATCAGTATCAGGACCCCACTGGAAATAAGTCACCTTGTCTGCCTTTTTGGGGAGTAATCCTAGGTAATTCACACTATGTATGATAATTGTACTCACGTGTATCGTGCCTAAATAAACTTAGTACGAACAAGAGCATCAGAATCAGCAACAAGGTGTGTACTACAAGGCAAGGATGATCAAACAGTGAAGGACGTGTGCAGTGTGAGGAAGGTAGTGGAAAGCTTCTTCCGCTATACAAGGATGGAAAGAGAGAGCACCCACCCTTCCACATGACCACTCTCAAGAATACAAACATGCCTCAGCAACCACGTACCACACATATATAATGCCTGTGTGCCTCTCGCATAACTGTAACCGGTTTCCAGATCTTGGGCCGTGGCCAGGCTTTTTTTTTTTATCTGGGCAACCAGACTGTTGATGCTAACGACCCTTAGGTCCCCTAAGATATACCTTCCATGAGTTTTGAGTTTTTTTTTTTACTTGCACACTCCGGTCCCTGGCTAGGCTCGTCTGCTCTTGGTCTGGTTAACTAGGCTGTGCTGCTGGCGGCCCGCTGGTCCACATACGCATCACAGCCTGGTTGATCTGGCACTTGGTGAAGATACTTGTCCCGCTTCCTCTTGAAGACTTATACACTTGTCCCAGCAGTGTTTCTAATATTTTCTGATAAAAAGTTGAATAATCTGTAACCACGGATGTTGATACAATGTTCTCTTATTATGCCCATGGCTCTCCTACTTTTCACTGGGTTTATTTTACACTTCCCCAATTCCTCATTCTAGGATGTTGTTATGGCAGCGTGAAGATTTGAGACTAGGCCCTCAAGTGCTCTCCTTCTCTATATTAACATCACAACCAGGTTGATCAGATACCTTCAAAAAAAAGTGACTTGTTTTATCTTAAAAACCTCTTCTTTACTTCGGGTAATATTTTCTGAAGCGGCCATTACAAGCCCAACAGCAGCTGTTACACAACACTGTTTTCTAATATTTCAAGGCTGCGTGTGAAGTATATCCAGCCACGGTTCTTAAGTTGAATGTACTTCAAGCAAATATGGAGAGCATTTGGTAGGATTAACCTGCGAGCAACAGGCAACACAGCCGCTGCAACTATGTAACTCAACCCTTGAAGCAGAGGATATGGGATATAGGCAAGAGAAGGGGAAAAGAAAGGAGGGAGGGAAGGTGTGTGTTTACGAGGGAGACGAACAGGAAGTTCACACACCAGTGTGGGGGGTGAGAAGGGATGGGGGAGGGAGAAGAGGGGGAGGGCAATAAGAGGGAAGAGGGAACGTGAGGAAGTGTTGGAAATTAATTACAGAGAACTAAGATCAAGAGGTCATGGAGTGGTTTATTCAAGAAAAAGCTTGACTTGTGCACGTTAAGCACTCACTCACAGCCTAATACATACCACTAAAATTAAAATTATTTACACACAAAAAAAATTTGAGTTACAAAAGAATAACCCTTGTGAGTTAAACCCATCAAACGGGATAATTTAAACTCATCAGGGACTGTGAGTTGAGAAGTTAGTATACAATACCAACAAACTGTGGTTAACCACACATCAACAAACACTTGGAATATTTTATTAAGGATAAGTTTTGTTCCTGGGATCTTGTTCACCTCAAATATTTACAAATTTTAATTTATCATAATATAAGTTGTGGTTGTAATTGTGGTTGGTTGTAATTATTGTGGTTGGTTGTAACTGTTGTGGTTGGAAGCAGTGGCTTGTTGTAATTGTTGTGGTTGGATGCAGTGGCTGGTTGTAAATGTTGTGGTTGGATGCAGTGACTTGGTTGTAAATTGTTGTGGTTGGATGCAGTGGTTGGTTGTAATTGTTGTGGTTGGAAGCAGTGGCTTGTTGTAATTGTTGTGGTTGGATGCAGTGGTGGTTGTAATTGTTGTGGTTAGTTGTAATTGTTGTGGTTGGAAGCAGTGGCTTGTAATTGTTGTGGTTGGATGCAGTGGCTTGTTGTAATTGTTGTGTTATGGTTTGCAAATTGTTTGGGGTATGGAAGCGAGTGCTTGTAAGGTTGGTGGATCAGCGTCTGATTGCTGTGGCTGGCTTGATAATGTGGCTGCGTTGGAACTGCTTGTAATTGTTGTGAGTTGAAGCAGCTGGCTGTGGTTGGATGCAGTGGCTGATTGTAATTGTTGTGGTTGGTTGCAATTGTGGTTGGAAGCAGTGGCTTGTTGTAATTGTTGTGGTTGGATGCAGTGGCTGGTTGTAATTGTTGTGGTTGGTTGTAATTGTTGTGGTTGGAAGCAGTGGCTTGTAATTGTTGTGGTTGATGCAGTGGCTGGTTGTAATTGTGGTTAGATGCAGTGGCTTGTAATTGTTGTGGTTGGTTGTAATTGTTGTGGTTGGAAGCAGTGGCTTGTTGTAATTGTTGTGGTTGGATGCAGTGGCTGGTTGTAATTGTTGTGGTTGGTTGTAATTGTTGTGGTTGGAAGCAGTGGCTTGTAATTGTTGTGGTTGGATGCAGTGGCTGGTTGTAATTGTTGTGGTTGGATGCAGTGGCTGGTTGTAATTGTTGTGGTTTGGAAGCAGTGGCTTGTAATTGTTGTGGTTGGATAGCAGTGGCTGGTTGTAATTGTTGTGGTTGGATGCAGTGGCTGGTTGTAATTGTTGTGGTTGATGCGTGGTGGTTGTAATTTTGTGGTTGGTTGTAATTGTTGTGGTTGGAAGCAGTGGCTTTGTAATTGTTGTGGTTGGATGCAGTGGCTTGTAATTGTTGTGTTGGTTGGTTGGTTGTAATTGTTGTGGTTTCATGATTGCTGTCTGCATAAATTTTTGGTTCGTACTATCTGTTGTGTATTGCAACAGTCTTGAATTGTTTGTGGTTCATAGCCTTAGGTGGTCTGTTGAATGTGTTGATGGTATGTATTGTATATTTGTGTTGGTATCCTCACACCCTTTAGAAAGACTGAGCACAAGGTTTCAATCTGTCCATTGTTCACTGAAGCAGGTGTAATTGATGGGTTGAGATATGTGGAGTGAGATATGAATGGTGATGGATTATGATGATAATTCTGTGGAATTCTCACTATTAATGACTCACACACATTCACTGTTACTAAAAACGGTGAACTGTGAGACGGAGTAAGGTATCTAACTAGTGACATCCTGACATTATGTTATCTACGCTAGCTCACTGGCTCCCTCTTATACTGTTTGCAGAAAATAATTTTTATGCCGTATATTTTTATTTCGTTGTGGTAATTATACTTGGTTATTTTATGAGCAGAAGAACTTAATAAACCGTAGGTGAGAAACACATATAAATGTTTATGGAGTTTAAGAGAATGGGTTGAGTGGAGAGTTACTCAGAGTAGTGTACTACAGGGTAAGTGTACTACAGGGTTGGTAAATTACAAGGTTTGTACACTACAGGGTAAGTGTACTACGAGGGTGGTACAATACAGGGTTGGTACACTACAAGTACACTAAAATACATAACAAACTAAGATAACATAATGTTTTAACATGTTAAATAAGAGTAATTAACAACTTCCAGTCGGCTGCCTTAATGAATGACCAGAAATTAAAACTAATTTTAAATGTGTATTTAAGTGTTTTTTTCCACTTATACGAGCTGAATGAACCACCAAGTTTAGCGCTTCACATAAATACCCTAAGATGCCAGTGACAGGTTTCAGGGTACTTCTACCCTCACAGCCAGGCTGGAAATAATACTTGGATGTTAGGTTTGTAAATATTATATTCTATATAGTCAAAGATACACAAATGCACTATAATGTGATCCATCACTGATATACAAATATACTATAATGTAATCCTATATTGGCACAGATGCAGTATATGATCAGCTGAGGCTGCATTTGTCTCTTTCACCCTCATGTGGGTATTCTTAATATTTACTTTTCATTGTATATAGGAGATATATAGTGTGTTGAAGAGTAAGGTGTATATATGTATGTTCTCAGAGAGTTGAGTGGCGGTGGAGCAAGTGAGAGTGGTGCAGCGCCCCACCCCAGACAAGGTCAGCCCTCTCCACCTCTAGCAAGAGTAGGTGGGCAGGATCACTGCGGCGGAAGGTGCAGAGGGTAGCGGAAGCCTCCGTCCAGCACCAACATGAGGGTAAGAGCCCACAGCAGCCAGGAGAGCGGCCAGGGGCGCCCTCACACCACCTAGTGCCGCCATCATACGCCGCCTTCGTCAGCAGCAAGTGCAGCAGCAGGAGCCAGAGTCTGAGTGGTCATCCTGAGTGTGTACTTGCCTGAAACCCTGCCTTCAGAAGACAACTTTGGAGTGTGGTGCTGATATTGCCTCTCCTCCAGTGTTGCAGCCTCTTACAATGGTAGACAACCCGATGTACGCCCGCAACCATGACCTTATGGTGAGTACAACATATAAACCTGTTTCTTTGCCTTCATACATCACCTTCATGCTGAGTACAGCACAAAATGTGTTTATTTGGACGCGGGCTAATATCCATCACTATGTATCACATGGTTACTTAACAATGTGACTTAATAATGGTTCAGGAGGAGTCGAAACTTCAAGCCTTTCATTTGAAAATGAAGAGTTAACAGTGAACACTTCTTGAACGTTTGCAGTGTTAGTGCAGCACCTCAACAAACTTCACAATGCCCGGGAACACTTCCAAGTCCGTCAGTACTTTCTCCTAAGGTGAAGTGTGTCATCTCTGAATGAAGATTCATATATATACAATAAAAACATTTACTGAAAGAGAATTTTTGCCTCAGGTAACTTTATCAACGTTTTATCAGTCATTAGGACCGAGTCACCACTGGCGAAATGTCTCCTTAATCCCACAGTCTGTCGGTCGTAACACATCCACGAGTATACATTACTTAATAGTTGATCACTAAGGAGAAACTTCTGATTTTATCAGCAACGCGATTTTATCTTGAGAATTTAAGAGTTTAAAGAACAGGGATTACATCTGAGGTAGAGTTGTGGACACAAATAACGTACACACAACAAAACACTATCCAATAAAAGCATCGTTAAACGTGTTTTTTTCTTCATTTGGCTTGTGTTAAGTGTTAGGAGAGTTACGAAGGAAATGTTCTTGATAAAACACCCACATCCAGCCTCTGTCAATATCAACCATCGCTAGTAACTAACTTTCTGAATGGACTAGTGAGCTAGCCTGGTAATTGTAGCACTCGCTTGCCACAGGTTCCAACTTCACTGAGTTCAGTGAGATTACAATGTTGCCATTATGATATCTCGAGTCACTGGTGAACCACAGTGCTGATGTATGGTGATGTGAAACAATGTCAGGCAACGTTTGTCAGGAAACAACACAAGTGTTTCCTGACGCGGGTCTTATTTCGAAGACCTTCATAGAGTGCGCTATTCAATTTTCAATTCACCTCTCAATCGCATTTACGAAAAACTGAACTATATATCAGAGCTTTATAAGAAAGCTTAAAGTTCAGTAATAATATAAAGTCGTATCAACATTACTTTGGAATTTATAACCATCATCCCATCCTAACATTCAAAGCTTCATACTTAAGATTAATTACCTTACGTTTAAACCCGATGGATTGCACTAAAGTTATTAAGCTCGTAATTAACATGTACACTAAGCACACTTTAACACTCAAAATTGGGATTAAAATTCTGAGTATTTTACACAGAACTTTAATTCCTGTAATAAAGAATAAATGTATTATCAAAATACATACAAGTATATACATTAATCGTGAACATCGATACAAGATGCAAAACAGCCACAGGGGGAGTTGAATGATAGCTCTAGGCCTTTCGTGTTGTAATCAACACATCAGGAGCTTGCACTGTTGCAGAAATGAGTAGGAAGTCGAGCAAAAACGTTCCCCTGAACCAATCTGCCAGCTCTATGTGTGAATGCAACACAAAAGGCCTAGAGCTATCATTCAACTCCCCCTGTAGTTGTTTTGAATACACGTATATTTATAAACCCTGAGTGTTGTCAGTGTGCATTCGATACTGCAATAACTACAAGGAAATCTACTTGAAATTACGAAATATACTGAATTGTTGAACTGCGTGCAGCTGGCACCAGCAGCCTAGTTGATCAGGTCAGCAACCTGCTGCGCAAAGTGGCTAGTTTATTGTGCACCCCATATCTATCCTGTGGATGATAGTAGCTAGTTTATTGTGCACCCCATATCCATCCTGTGGATGGTAGTGGCTAGTTTATTGTGCACCCCATATCCATCCTGTGGATGATAGTGGCTAGTTCATTGTGTGCCTCATATCCATCCTGTGGATGGTAGTGCAAGAGCATATGGATACACAAAATGCCTAAGAATTAGGTCCCAAAAGTATTTACACAAGTACATCTGGAATTACATCTACAACTAACATCCACAGTTCAACACAAATATTACCAGGGTGGAGATGTGTTGCAGGTTTTGAGCTGTTGTGTAATCTCGCCTCTGGCAAGACAGTAATGGAGTGAATGGTGATGAAAGTGTTTCTTCTTTTTTCGGGTCACGCTGCCTCGGTGGGAAACGGCCGATGTGTTAATATATAATAATAATATATTTGGAAACTTACCAAACTGCAATCGTCATTATGTTTACCATTGATTGTTCCACACTTGCAGCCACCAGATAAAAAAAATGACAATGAAAAGATTTCGGTAATAAACGTGGAAATAATGGAACAATGTAAGTAGCAGAGTCACTCCCGGGGACCTGTTTAACGCGGCCAACACAACTTAACACTATTTTCAAAGAGTGTCACTTGTCAGCAGTGAACTGGTCTTTCTTAAAGAATAAGTGTGAAGCAAGATGCATGTAAATAAAGAATACCGTGGTTAGAACAAACCATAAACAACCCACATTTAAGAAACGTAGTTTGAAGTTTCTTCTAACAATATCTGATCAAGACATGAAAGACGGAGGATCGAGCCTCCACTCACACTTGTCCCAAATGACCCCACCTGAGCTCAATGCTATAAATCTAATACACAAATAACCTGCACATAGGAGAAAGGAGCTTACGGCGACGTTTTGGTCCGACTTGCATCATTTACAAAGTCACAATGTGACCGAAACGTCGTCGTAAGTTCCTCTCTTCTATGTGCGGGTTATTTGTGTATTGTTCCAGTCACAGTATTGTGCCTTTTATTTACGTCATACATAAGTTACTTATTCGATTATATATTAATAATATTATATATATATAATATATATTATATGTTATTTTATATATATATTATATATATACTATATAAATAATATATATATATATATATATATATATATATATATATATATATATATATATATATATATATATATATAATATATATATATATATGACCTGCAAGACTTTTCACTTTTATATCAATCTTATCCGAATCTAAACGACGTATCGCTCATAACAAGTGAAAAAGGACACCTGTGCAGAGTTTAATCATCTCATGACTTGATAAAACTCTACATAGAGCGAAACGTTTTCCCAGTAAAAGCTTGGTTCTGTAATATCTTTTGTTAACTCCTCTTGCACGAGAGACACGTGGCCATCACAGCCTTCTAATGTGTGTTGTGCAGCACCTAGGTGTTGATAATGTGTTGTGCAGCACCCAGGTGTTAATGTGTGTTGTGCAGCACCTAGGTGTTGATAATGTGTTGTGCAGCACCCAGGTGTTAATGTGTGTTGTGTAGCAACCAGGTGTTGATAATGTTTGTTGTGCATCACCCAGGTGTTAATGTGTGTTGTGTAGTAACCAGGTGTTCATGTGTGTTGTGCAGCCCCCAGGTGTTGATAATGTATACTGTGTAGCACCCAGGTGTTGGTAATGTGTGTGTTGTGTAGCACCCAGGTGTTGGTAATGTGTGTGTTGTGTAGCACCCAGGTGTTAGCAAGGTGGGCGAGATGGTGTCAAGTGGTGTATTTACATGTGTACCTCTTGAAGGCAAACACTAAACGTTCACTGGATGCTGGAGCATACAGCCACACACACACACACACACACACACACACACACACACACACACACACACACACACACACACACACACACACACACACACGTACTCGGCTGCGGTTGTGGGGGTCGAGTCTCGGGTCCTGGTCCAACTTGTAAAATACCTGAAACCGGTTTCGAAATTTTCTTTCTTAGCCCTGACAACTCGGCCAGGGTCGCGCATCCTTGTTGCTTGCCTGGTCAAGGATAAAAGAAGCAACACATCACAGTTCTAAGTATGATATAATGCACAATGCCGGTGTTCTTGCATTTTCGCTCTCTCAGCCGCAGCGCACACCTCAACATACAATACTTGGCAGTCAGTTTAAAAATCACCTCACGGGGCACGTTCATTTTTCTACCTTGTCCATAGTTACTATCGCATTTTCTTTGTTTAATGAGGTGAAGTCTAGGATCTTTCCTTAATTCATGGTATAACTTAATAAAGAAATCTACAGACGGGGGACCTTACGTGCCTCTTTAAGTTGTAGGTAAAAAAAAAAAAACTTATGAAGTGATCAAGTTATTTATGAAGAAAACGTTTCACCAATCCTAAGAGGACTTAAGAAACGTTTCTTCAGTCCCAATAGGACTGAAGAAACCTCTTGTGGCGAAACGTTTCCTTAATGTCTTGATTAGGGCCTACGAGTCTTTTACACACAATTTGTCGGTAAGGATCAACACAGCAGTTGTAGCAGAGTAGTAAACTCTTGGAACTGATAACAGGTGTTATCACACTGAGTCTTACACAACACCCACTAATATGTTCTTCATGGTAATGAACCATGCACCTGCCTCACCACCCACCTGCCTCACCACCCACCTCCACCCACCTCCCTCACCACCCACATTTGGTGCGAGCCATCAAGACACACCTGAGAGAGGCCTCCCCAGACCCTCTTCTTGTTGACCTTGATGCCACTACACCGACAAGGTGGCACCAAATTATCGAACAAAAGAATAATTGCTGAAGTTTATCCCAGGACTGAGAACTGAGGAGGAATCACGAAGCACTATCACGTAGATCACTCAAGGCTCAAAGTCGCAAAACAAATATGTACAACACAACACAAACAAGGATAAAATTAACAAGCAGAATAAGCAACACATATTCAACAACAATAAATACCTTGATACTAAGTTAAAATAAATTAACACATGCTAAAACCACCATTAATGTCAACCAGTGTAAGCATCTTCCACCAGCCAGTATACCACTATACTTCCACCAGCCAGTATACCACTATACTTCCACCAGCCAGTATACCACTATACTTCCACCAGCCAGTATACCACTATACTTCCACCAGCCAGTATACCACTATACTTCCACCAGCCAGTATACCACTATACTTCCACCAGCCAGTATACCACTATACTTCCACCAGCCAGTATACCACTAT